ATCTGAAAGCACCCCGTATAGGCAGCACCTCCTGACTCCATTTCCTTCACACTTAGATATTGCCTAAGAATCTGTACTCCTTTGTAAAAAAAAAAAAAAGTTAAATCTATCTATATATATATATTTAGATAGATAATATCAACTAATAATGAGAAGACGGGTTGGAGGCAGCAATCTCAAAGATCTCAGCTTTTAAGTGAAAGTTTAAAGTTTTGTCTTAGGTATAAATTATGATGGAAAATAGATGTAGAGGAAATTTCTGAACCCAGGGAGGCATTCATTTTAGGATAGAAGGACATATCTCAAAGAAAGTGGACAAAGAAGTAAGCAGAAATATAAGAGGATAGTAAAGGTGATCTGTAATTTAAAAAGCAAATGGAAAATAAATTTTATAGAATTAGGCAGTGCTATAGTTTAATAGTGAAAAATGTCATAGAACTTCCAAGTAAGATAAAAATGGAAAATATCCATTCGGGGGGCTATAGGCTTTCAGTGATCTTGACATTTTCAATAAGATGGTAGAAATATGTTCATAATGATTGCAAGATGGAAAATGAATACTTAATGAGAGAGTTAAAATATATTTACATTCATTCTACAGATGAGAAAGTTGAGCCTTCAGTAGGTTACACAATTTGTCCAAAATCGCACAATTAATAGATGATATATAAGAATTCAAACTCAGGTTTATCTGAGCTCTGAATTCATGATCTAAACCAACATCCACTGAGTATAAATGCTAGTTCTCCTGCCCAAGTTTGCCTTCCCATATAGTATCCTATTTCCTAAACTATTCATTTCATTAAAAAAAAAAAAGACTAAAATGCTTTCTCCTCCTTAATGCCACACCAAGGAGTTACTCTTAAAGCATTTTTGCTGCATCTGAATCCATGTATTTCCTTCCCCAGGCCACAGCTTTTTCTTTATGTTCCTGAACACAATCTGCGGATTGGTTTTTTCCTATATCTTTACCATGTGTTCAGAGTCCTGATCTACCTTTATTTGTTAAAGAAACAACTCCCAAGGGAGTTTCTAGCTCATTTCCAACATAGGCCATTTGGGAATACCAAATGATCCTTTTTTCCCTTTCCCATCTAAAAAAGATCTGGCCTGCTGAAGTTGCCCCCCGTACCCTCCTTTTCTTCTCTGTATGGAGAGTCTCTAAGTGAAGCAGTGTCTCTACCATCAGATGAAGCAAGACTATCCAGGAGTTCTATGTGTCATAGAACAGGAAGATAAGTCACTGGTTCTTCAAAACTGTTGGCCTTGGCAAAAACTATTCAATTCCTCTTTTTTTTTAACTGTTCTTAAATTATATTTTGTCACACCATAATATTTTTAGGAACAGCAATATGAAGAGACCATCAGATCTAACTTTTTACCAAATTTTTAAAGGGAAAGTGAAAGTTGCTCAGTCATGTCTGACTCTTTGCAACCCCATGGACTATACAATCCATGGAATTCCCCAGGCCAGAATACTGGAGTAGGTAGCCTTTCCCTTCTCAGGGGATCTTCCCAACCCAGGGATTGAACCCATTGAAGGTCTCCCGCATTGCAGGCAGATTCTTTACCAGCTGAGCCACAAGAGAAGACCACCAAATCCTTAAGCCACCATCTATTAATAAAATTTCATCAGACTTCTGTTTGTTGTTTCTATGGATTGAAAACTCCCTACCTTCTAGGGTAAAGCATTCCTTTTTGACTCTATTATATATGTGATATAATTATACATTGAAATATAAATCTACTTCTCTGAACGATCTACCCCTTACCCCTAGTCCTGACCTCTGAAGTCAAATGATCAAATTTAAATAATCACATTCATATCCCACCTCTAGATCTTATAAAAATATCTGCATTAATATTTCTGAGGCATCTTTCTTGATAGCTGAGCATCCAGTAGTATGTTAGCTATTTGTCACATAATATTTCCTAGTTCTGATTCTTTTATTATTGTCCTGTTCCATAATAATCTGGATGTTATCAGATCATCCTCATTCTGCAAATACCCCCTGAACCATATGCTTAATTTCTATCTTAGCAGTCTATGATTGTGCAAGTCTGCAAATACAAATCCAAAACCCTTGTCTCAAGCTGCATTCCAGAATCCAGTCTTTCAAATTTAAAAAAAGTCATAAAGTGACTTCCCTGGTCCAGTGGCTAAGACTCCCTGCTTTTATTGCAGGGAGCATGGGTTCAGTCCCTGGTCAGAGAACTAAAATCCCACATGCTGCACAGCATGGCCCAAAATTAAAGCAAAATAGTCATAAAATGTGCATTCCGTATTATGCATGACACCCCTAGCAGGTTGCAACCTATAATACCTTATAAACTATCATCTGTTTACATTAAGATAACAAATAAAGACTAATTTGTATGTTCAGATCAGATTTTGCTACAGTGTGATCTTAGACTGTGTCAGATTTTTGTCAATAAAAATATACTTCATAAATAATTTTGCAGAACATTTGATTTCAGAATTATAGTTAAGGGATTGTAGCTTTTTAATAACTTTGTTATCAAGTTAATTTATATTGCACTCATAATGAAACTTCTGAAAGACTTTTAAAGGAATTGCATTTTCATTTCATAGCAAAAAGCTTAGTTGTGGTTGGTGCTTATCAAGTATTAGCTGAGTAAATGAATGCAGAATCATGTTATCAAGCAATTGGGTTTGTACTTATACATCTTTTACTTTTATTTATAAGAAGATTAATGATTTTAGATTCAGTCCCTCACTCAAATTATATGTCCTTTTCTTGTTTATCATTTATTTATCTCTCACTTTTATTTCAACCACATTGCATAAAGAAATGTGTAACATGACACCATCGTTTTACAGAAGAGAAATGTGTCTATTTTCCTTGAGTGCTTTTATTAATTTGTGAGGATTAAAAAAGATTTTTTCAACCAACTATTATAGAGCTTATACTTCTCTATGTTGACTGAAAGACTACTTTGGAAAGTATTATTGATGTTTAATTACAATAAGTCCACCTGATGCTATAATTTACCCAGACTACTGATTGCTTAGACTAATACTTGGAAGAGTGTTTCAGTTTCAATAAAGTCTTTACCCAGAGGATATTATACTACAAGTTAAATTTATTTTCTTCCTCTTGATGTCAGCTCTGTCACTACATGGGAAAAACAGAAACTGAGGCCTACACTCTGGGAGATAGAGGGCCATGTGTGTTATCCTAGCCAGGGAGTGGCAGAGAGGCCTGTGGTCTTCCTAAGTGGCCTGGGACTCCAGGCATGCATCTGGGAATTGGACTGCCAACTGGGGAGTTTGGTGCACCAAGCCACATTGAGGTGGGGGTAGGTGATCTAGCTAACCAGCTGCCAAAAATAAATAAACAAAAATCCTGGAAATAAAATAATGTCTATAGATTTTTAATGTAACGTATACATACAGCAGAATATTATTCAGCCACATAAGAAAAGATGTTGTGATAGGAAACTTGAAAATGTTATGCCAAGTGAAATAAGCCAGACACAAAAGAATATTATAAGATCCCACTTTATCAAGTATGTACAATAGGCAGTCATAGAGATATAAATTAGATTAGAAGTAACAAAGACCTGGAAGAAGGGTAGAATGGGGACTTATGGGTTAATGCATACAGCGTGTCTGCTTGGGATAATGAAAACCTTTTGGAAATAAGGATGATAGTTGAATATTGTGAATTAATTTCCTGAAACTATACACTTAAAACGGCAAATTTTACATTATATTCATATTAAATGCAATATATATATATAAACCACAATAAAAATAATTCAGTACATTCATTCTATTTCATTAAATATATTGTGAAAGTTGTGAAAGGAAAGTTTTGAGATCAGAAATTATTTATAGGATAAGACATTAAAAGGTTTATCACTGTTTTACATGTGTGCAAACACACACAAATGCACATATATTATACATATGTATTATTCTTTCTTGAGAGAAAAAAATAAATATATATATAGTACATATATTACAGTACTATTTTTCTTATTTATAAATTAACAAAATTAATAGCAACCGATAATTGCTTTTCAGTTGGTACGTCTATTCTTCAAATAGTGTAAAACAGAAACTCAGGGTTATCTTTCCTTCCTTCCCAACCTTTTTTCCTCTGTTTTTCTAAAAAGAAAAAAAAAAAGAAAAGAAAGAAAAAATCCTATGAATCTTATTCAATTTAGATCCTAAATTCATCTCATGTAAATCCATTACCTCCCATCTCTATTTTCTTAAACTGGGCTGCTATTACCTCTTTTTAAAACTACTGCTAACACCCTCTGATTCTTTCTTCTGTTTGTCTCCATCTCCATCAAACTAATTCACGAGTTCAGAGATACTCTGGCATAAAGATTTGTAAATGACACTCTATCACTTGGAAAGCAAATCCTGCATTGAAATATAGTACTTTTGAGATAGAGTTTCATGCTCTAGTTCATCTTTGTATGGCCCTCAAATGAAGCTGTGATTACCTACTTTCCTTATAGTAGGCTGTGGTTGTCCCAGACTGGACATCCAGCTTGAACTTTTCTAAACAGTTACTTAACACTTGTTAAAAATATGAAATCTGAATTTCCCTATCTTTCCTGGTTATTAAAGTATTTGTTATATTTAGATATATTACCTATCTCCAAATTCTACCTACCTAGAAATTATCTATGGATTCCCAGGTGGCTCAGTAGTAAAGAATCCGCCTGCCAAAGTAGGAGATGAGGATTCGACCTCTAGGTTGGGAAGATCCCCTGCAGTAGTAAATAGCAACCCATTTCAGTATTTTTGCCTGGGAAATCTCATGGACAGAGGAACCTGGTGGGCTACAATCCATGGGCTTGCAAAGAGTCAGACATGACTGAGAACACATGCAGAAATTACCTATCTATATTGCACTCCTGCTCAACTTAGCTTGTATCTTTATGTAATAATTGAAGCCTATGTTACTCTGAAAAAATGCCTAGACATCCTGGAGCTTTCAAAATTCTGAAATAAAAGTTCAAGCCCTACTGTGCACAGAAAATAGGCAAACAATGCTTCTCTGAATCTGCTTGGTCTTGATGCTATATATGAGGGGATTCATGAATGGAGGAAAGAGAAAGTAGACATAGCTCATGGTAACATGGACCACATGTGGTGCATGCGCCCCAAACCTGTGGATGAAAGTCAGGCCAATCACAGTGATGTAAAAGACCAGGACACAGCTGATATGGGAGACACATGTGTTGAGAGCCTTAGCTCGCTCGTCTCCAGAGGCAATGCCCATCACTGTCTTAAGGATTAGGATATAAGAGACAAAGATCATTAGAGCATCTAGGAAGAAAGTCAAAGCAACCAGAATAATTGGGTACACACGATTAAATGTAATATCAGCACAGGCAAGTTTCATGACATCTTGGTGGAGGCAAAAGGCATGGGAAAGAACATGGGAATGGCAGTATGGGAACCAATAGAGTGGCAGAATTGGAGGCAAAAGGGATAAAAAGCCTCTCATTAATACTACAAGGCCTATCTTCATCACTTGATTGTTGGTAAGGATAGAGTTGTACCTCAGAGGGGTACAGATAGCAATGAAATGGTCATAGGCCATGGAAAGCAAGATACCAGATTCTACAATGGAAAGGGAGTGAATGAAGTAGGCCTGCAGAAAGCAAGCTCCAGGGCTTATTTCTCTGTGATTGCCCCATAAGAGACCCATTACAGTTGGCATTGTGGTTAATGTAACTGTCAGATCTGTGGCTGCCAGCATGGCAAGGAAATAGTACATGGGTTCATGGAGACTCTGGTCATCCTTGATGAAATAAAGGAGAGTGCCATTGCCAAGAAGCACAGAGATATAGACTGCGAAGAAGGGGATGGAGATCCAGTGATGAGCTGCCTCCAGACCTGGGAAGCCAGTCAGCAAGAAGTGGGCAGCACTAGTGTTGGGCCACATAACACGTCCACAGGTGGAGAACAGCAGTCTGGAAACCTTTTATGCAGAAACCCAAAGTTTTCAATTTGCAATATCTCCTTGTGGGAATATATCACACAAAATTTCAATTATACCCTTTGTAGTTAAGATAATTAATTTGTATATGTGTGGTTTTGCAACTGTTTTCTTTTAGAAAACTAGTGGCTCAGACAGTAAAGTGTTTGCCCGCAGTGTGGGAGACCTGGGTTCAATCCCTGGGTTGGGAAGATCGCCTGGAGAAGGAAACAGCAACCCACTCCAGTACTCTTGCCTAGAAAATTCCATGGATGGAGGAGCCTGGTGGGCTACAGTTCTTGGGGTCACAAAAAGTCGGACACGCTAAGCGATTTCACTTCTTCTTTTAGAAGAATAATAGAGATGCATAGACTGTACTAAGGAAGAGGAATCATGGTCTTTTCCTAAGTTATGTGTAATATTAGGTTAATGGCTAAAATGTTCATAATTAAAACAAACAAACAAACAAACAAAAACACGAGGCCCCACTCTTATGTATATGCTGGAAAATGTTTGAAGGAATAATAGTAACAAAAAAGAAGATAGAGTACTTCCCTGGTGGTCTACTGGTTAAGAATCCACATTGTGAGAGTGTGGTTCAATCCCTGATTGAAGAACTAAAGTCCCACATGCCATGTAGCATTGGCCCCCCCAAAACAAAAGAAAAAGAAAGATAGATATATAAAAATGGACAATAATACTGCTTCATTAGATTTTCTTTTTGCTTGATTGTAAATTTTTTAATACATTTAAGCTTGAATTTTTAATACATTTAAGCTTAAAATATGTTTAAGCTTATGATGGAAACATAAAGTCTCTATCACAATCATGATAGAGACAGTTTTTGTTAGAAAATGTTTGTTTCATTTTGAAATTGAGTGTTTTTGGTTTATGGAATTCTAAACAAAAACCATAAACAGACTATGCAGTAAGGGACAAGAGCAGACATGTCACCTTTAGACTAAAGGAATTCAGTTTTTCTAAAGCATGTCATGAATACCCCATTAGAAACTTCAAACTCACCTTGACATATTTGTCTTAATAAAAAAATCTATGCTATAGGTGTTGATCATCCAGGGTAGTGGATGCCCCGCTTTGCAGACCTGTAGAAAAATCTATCTTCTCTTGACTTCATCTAACATCAGCTGGGAGAGGAGTCATTTCATATTTCTGGTCCTAGCACTGACCAATAACACAGTCTTGTTACTGGAGTGGTTACTTGTTTCTGTCTTATTTGAGGACTTGGCCCAGACACTTCCATCTCAAAAACTGTTGGAGTCCAGGTTAGAGAGTCTATGTATGTAGAAGTCACCTCCCCAGAGTTGTATTTTTTCAGCCACTTGGGAGAGTCTGATTTTCCTTTCTTTCCTTCTTATTCTGGGAGAAGCTGAGCCACTCAAACAATGTTTACAAGCCTACAGTTCCCCAAGGATGTATCAGGAAAGTGGAAATTGAAATGTTATACAGGTACAAGGATGTCACGGCTTTCCCGTGTGGGATTGCCACACAAATGTGAGGATGACACCCCAAGATCCTCAGCATCAGGATTTAGGAAATCCCATGCATGATTTCCCAGTGTCTGCCTCAAAGGTCAAGGAGATAGTAGTTACCCTCATGAGTTACATGTGTCTTTGTTAGTCCAAGAACTTGTAAATCCTAGTTGCATCTTTGTTTTTCCTGTTTCATTGGGGAAATCAGTTCTGATTCACAGAAACCTCAACAGATCTGTGAATAGCCCGGTGCATAAAGGACATCTTATACTGTGTTTTAAAATTATTTTGCTAATACTCAGATTATTGCCCCTTTGTGCCAAATTCAGGGTGATGAACTTGTTCTTTTCCTTAGCAGAACTTAAAAATCTAATGCGAGCCAGGAAGAAAATATTATTATACATTTTCATAACACAATCATCACTGCATGAAAGTTAACGTGCTATAAGAGGAGCACAGAAGATGTATCTGGGATCTGGAAAACTTCCTCAAAGAAGCACTATTTAAGCTGATAATTGAATAATAAGACAAGTAAGGAATATGATAGTTTGGGTTAGAATTGGCACTAGTTTCATGCAGAGAGAAAAACAAAACCAAGTCAAACAAAACCATCTATACTGGTTATAAGACAAGAGAAAATATGATGACTTTAAACAAAAAAAATCATTTTATACTACATTAGATGCATTAAAAACTTATAATATCATTAGAACAAAACCTGAAAGAAAGCTTGACATAAAATGAATCTGTGGTAGCATGTTCTGATCACATAAATCTGATCACCTAATGGCAATTAGCATTAAATGAATGACAAGACTGTGTTTATGATCAGGTGATCATTGCTTATATGTCACTTTGCTACAATATGACTAGTACATTGGAAAAGAGGTGATAAAAAGAAGAGAAATATCAAGAAAGTGTAATCTACATGAGAAATCGTGTTGGTAAGGATGTGACTAGTAATCAGTAGAGATGGATAGAAGTTGATGGAAGAGAGAGTCTATGATTTAGAAAGAATAGAACTTGATAACTGATTGCATATGGTAGATTAAGGGAATGATGACAGCTGTATTTCTGACCTAGCTGACTGATAGATAATTCCATGTGTAAACATAAGATCACTGGGAGATAATTACTTCATTCATTAATGAGCAGTTATTTGTTGATTGACTCTTTTCCACTAAGCATTGTTTCACACATTAGATGTTGAAAAGGTTAAAGAGAACTTGTTCTGTTTCAGTCATTCTGTCTATAAGCGGTCAATTTAGGATATAGTTACTCTGGGTGGAGGTGGTGATTAAAAGGCAACATAAGACTCATTTTGCTTATTTTTGTACTTGATCTAAGTAGACTCACACAAATTTGATTTTTATTGTTTGCTCAATATCATGTTTGAGATGCATCCATGCTGGGAGTTAATTCATATTTAAGTATAATATTCATTATAAAAATATAATTTATTTCTCTATTCTTTAGGTAATAGGAATTCAGGAGGCTGGAAATCATGTTGAAAAAATATTTCATTTAAAAAAACATAAAGGCAGGGCATCCCTGGTGGCTCCGTGGAAAAGAATCTGCCTGCCAATGCAAAAGACTCGAGTTAGATCCCTGATCCAGGAAGATCCCACATGCCACAGAGCAACCAAGCCTGTGCACCACAACTATTAAGCCTGTGCTCTAGAGCCTGGGAGCTACAGCTACTGAAGCCCTCACAGCCTAGAGCCTGTGCTCGGCAACAGGAGAAGCCCCTACAAAAATTAGCCTCTGCTTGCCACAGCTAGAGCGAAGCCAGTGCAGCAATGGAGACCCAACACAGTCAAAAATAAATAAATAAATACATAACAGTTAAAAAAAGAAAAACACACACATGAAGGCACCTGGAGCAGAACACTGAACTTCTTTTTTTTAATTTATTTTTTAATTGAAGGATAATTGCTTTACAGACTTTTATTTTCTGTTGAATATCAACATGAATCAGCCATAGGTATACATATGTCCCTTCCCTCTTGAGCCTCCCTCCCATCTCCCTCCCTATCCCACCCCTCTAGGTTGATACGAGCCCCTGTTTGAGTTCCCTGAGACATACAGCAAATGCCCATTGGCTGTCTATTTTACATATTGTAATGCAAGTTTCTATGTTACGCTCTCCATACATCTCACCCTTGCCTTCCTCCCTCTTCCAAGTGTCCATAGGTCTGTTCTCCATGTCTGTTTCTCCATTGCTACCCTGAAAATAAATTCATTGGTACCATCTTTCTAGATTCCATATATATGCATTAGTATACAATGTTTCTCTTCTTGACTTGCTTCACTCTGTATAATAGGCTCCAGGTTCATCCACCTCATTAGAACTGACACAATGTGTTCCTTTCTATGGCCGAGTAATATTCCATCGTATATATGTACCACAGGTTCTTTATCCATTCATCTGTCGATGTGCATCTAGGTGTCTTACATGTTTTATCTATTGTAAATGGTGCTGCAATGAACATTGGGGTACATGTGCCTTTTTCAATTTTGGTTTCCTCAGGATGTATGCCTAGGAGTGGGATTGCTGGGCCATATGGTGGTTTTATTCCTAGTTTTTTAAGGAATCTCAATACTGTCTGCCATAGTGTATGTATCAATTTACATTCCCACCAACAGTCCTAGAGGGTTCCCTTTTCTTCACACCCTGTGCAGCATGTATTGTTTGTAGGCTTTGATGATGGCCATTCTGACTGACAGAGCCCTCAATTTCTTAACCAAAGCTTGGGAACAACTCCACCAATAAATCTACCAGTTGCCTACAGTCTTCTCCCTCTATATGGAAAACAACCCTGCTTATCCAACAGTGAGCAGCCATCTTGCACCTCTTCAGGAACACTTGAACATTGTCACTTCATGTCCAAACCCTCTATGTGCCCAAATGAGCATGCCAAAAATGCTGGTCCACTAAAATTTGAATCTCCCAATCCTCTCACATATATGTGGCAGGTAATTAAGTAAACTGTGAAATGAAGATCCATGCCAGGTAGCTGGGGTCTTTCTCACTAAGTATGAAAGAACTAGCAAGATTTATAACTTGAAAGGCCTTGGCCAGATTAACTGGGGTTTCTGCCATCAAATTTAGCACTGTAAAAGAGGCAACCCATCCTTGAAAGTGAAAGAAAGTGAAGTTGTCCAGTCGTATCTGACTGTTTGCAACCCCATGGACTGTAGCCTACCAGGATCAGCAAGTCCATGAGATTTTCCAGGCAAGAATACTGGAGTGGGTTGCCATTTTCTTCTCCAGAGGGTCTTCCCGACCCAGGGATTGAACTCACGTCTCCCACATTATAGGCAGATGCTTTACTGTCTGAGCTACCAGGGAAGCCCATTTCTTTGAGTCCCTTTTTTTGTGGGGTGGGGCGGAGGGGGTGGCAAGAATACCGGAGTGAGTTGCCATTCCCTTCTCCAGGAGATCTTCCCTACCCAGGGATCAAAGCCGCATCTCCC